ATCCGCATCTGGTGGCCTTCTTGAATTTCCCTCGGGATAAATAAAGTATCTATCTATCTATGTATCATCAGCAGATTATATTATATTATATTATATTATATTATATTATATTATATTATATTTCCTTGGTTATATTCACTTTTGTCTCTAAAACATATTATATTAATTATATATTTTATATACATACATAAGTTAATACGTGCCTCGTTTACCTGTTCCGTGTAACGTTAACTTCCCCCCCTGCCTGTTTGTACAGTAACGTTACTATAGTATTCGCAACAGAAAAAGAAAAACATAGTGGCAAAATAAATAAATAAAAAAACTACAACTCCCATCGCGCACTGGGCCTCAGTCGCGTAGGTGTTTCCGGTGTCTTATGACATTTTACTTCCTTCCACACAGACCGACACGAACAAATCGAGAAAGAAGACGTCGCTAACTTTTAAACGCTGTCGTCAACAGTCGCCTTCTGAGCGCAGTTCTCGGTTAGTTTCCGTCTTAAAATGGCCGCCATGTTGCGAGTGGTGTCTGAGAACTAAAGAATAGTTGAAAACGTAGACCATAACGCGTAGGCCTCCGAAGAAAGTTTGGTCGAGGGCCTGTAAACAACATGTCCTCCGCCTCGCAGTCTTCCTCTAGACGGCAATGGTGCTACCTCTGCGATTTGCCCAAGATGCCCTGGGCCATGCTGTGGGAGTTCAGCGAGGCTGTGTGCAGGGGATGTGTCAACTACGACGGGGCAGACAGAATAGAGCTCCTCATTGAAACTGCCAGGCAACTGAAGAGCACGCACGGAGTTTTAGACGGCAGGTCTCCCGGTCCACAGCAGGGAAAACCCAGCTCGGCCGGGCCCATTGAAGCAGGGCGGCAGCATGGAGAGCGTATAGATAGGGGGAGGGGTGAGTATGGGGTGTCTTCTCGCCTCCCCAATGGCCTGCACAGAGCTGAAGATGTGGCCTTGTCAGAGGGTAGCAGACAGAGCCCAAACACCCGTCGGGCTATAGTTGGAGCAGTTCCTAATCTTCATGGCACCATATCTCATGCATTGATAGCTCAGGGGTTAGTAGCAGCTCCTCACGGGCTTTTGGCCCCGTTATCAGGCTCCAGGGCTGGAGGCACTCCTATTGCAGTCTCAGCTGGCCCCATAATGAGTGAGGCTGGCAGAAGGCAGGCTGTGTCCCTGGGTGTGGGAGCTAGCACCTCTGCTGTGGTGGGTATAGATGCAGCAGTGTGGAGGAACAATGAAGTGATGGCCGAACTGAATGAGGTGGCTCGCAGCAGGGTTGAAGGCTGGCCAAACCGTCCCAAAGCAGTCCGGGATGTTCTTGTAGCTCTCAGCAGCTGTGTCCCCTTTAATGTGCGCTTCAGGAAAGACCATACCCTGATGGGTCGTGTTCTGGCCTTTGATGCCTGCGCAACTCCAGAGTTTGAGCTGAAGGTGTTTGTGGAGTATCCGGCCGGCTCTGGAATGATCTTCTCAGGAGTCCCAGACCTGGTCAGGCAGATGTTCCGGGACTCGGCCAAAGATGCAGGTAAAGCGGTGAACTCTGGCCTGCGCTATGTGGAATATGAGAAGCGGCAAGGCACAGGAGATTGGCGCGGGCTGTCTGAGCTGCTGAATGATGGTGTGCGTATGTTTAAAGAGCCCCCGATCCCAGAGGTTTTGCCACAGCCAGATGCAGGGTTGCCTATGGCAGCCGCTGGACGCCCTGTGCCAGCGAAGAGCACGACCCGCCGTCGCAAAGCTTCTCCAGGCTCTGAGAATGGAGAGAGCGAAGGGAGGCCGGATCACCCGTCGAGAGAGCCCTGGCCCAGAGGCGCTTACTCCGGCATGGAACCTCTTCCTGGCATGGCCGCCCCTCAAGAGGGCCCACCCCGTTTACACAGCCAGCCCTCACCCATCTCAGCGCTCATGGGAGTTGCAGACAGCCTGAGCTCCAGCCAGATGGCCCGAGATAGCCCCAGCATGTCCGCAGCCCACTCTTCAGCCGGGCGCCCCACCAGCAGCAGCCCCTCCACCGCCTCCACCTCAGTCTCCCAGGCATCCTTGGGGCAGGGTTTGACCGCAGTGGGGCCGAGCAGCAACGCCAGCGCCGGGGAGAGCTCAAGCAGCGCCCAGGGCACCCTGCTCTGCTGCACCCTCTGCCGAGAGCGCTTGGAGGACACACATTTTGTCCAGTGTCCCTCTGTACCGCACCACAAGTTCTGCTTCCCCTGTACCAGAGGGTTCATCCGGAGCCAAGGTCAAGGCGGGGAGGTGTACTGCCCCAGCGGAGAGCGCTGTCCCCTGGCTGGATCCACTGTGCCTTGGGCCTTCATGCAGGGAGAAATCTCAACCATCCTGGCCGGAGACGGAGATGTGACAGTAAAGAAGGAGAACGACCCTTGACATCTCCATGCTGTTGTGGTGAATGGTAAGACATCTGCTGTCCCGAGAGGCTCGGTTCTGATTTCACCCTTTCATAATCAGCTGATACATAAAACCGTCTGAACTGACTAAAGTATCAGTCCGCAGTGAGAGAGGATTCAGTAAATTAGAGTTGCAAATGAGAATCAGTTTTATCAGCAGTGATAATGTTTCTTATTTCATTTGTTCTCATTATTCAGCAGCTGGAAATTACACAGTGGAACTGAGTGTAGCTGACTTGTAAAGCAAGCCTTTAGTTTTCAGGTCATCTTTTAATCATGGTTAAATCAGTATTCATAATTGACGTGCTCTTATCTTCCCTCTATCTTCCAGACTATACAAAAGAATGTACAAAGGTGAATACATCATTGGCAGGAGTGCGGGCAGATTATAGCTGCTATCAGAAGAGGAGCCATGTACTGTATATAGTCACTGAGACGGAAAGATGATACATATAAATAGCATCATTATCACAATGATTAGTATTAACACAACACACTGTGACCTATGCAGGCTCCTGTAGAATAAGTGTCTCTTGGTGACACTCATAATGGCTGTAGAGTGAAATTAGAGGAGGAGAAGTAAGTAACTTTAGCTCATCAGCTCGCTCACACTGTAACTCATGTGAGAAATTCTTCCTTTGCGTTATGTTTACACTGCGGGTGTGTGTGTGACACTGTGTGTGTGTGTGTGTGTGTGTGTGACACTGCAGTGATGCCACACTCATTCTCCTGTGCAATGTGTCAACCTGCCTAAAGCACATTACACTTTGTATAATTGACAGGATTCTTTCAGCCGACACAAACGAAGCTGTGTTCTGTCATGGTTTGGAGACTTCTACAGTTTGAAGCTGATTTAGAGATCAGATTTAGAGATGAGAAGTGTGGCATCACCATCTGTTTTAAAAATTCAAAAAATAACTGAAATGCCACAGGATAAAATAACTATTAATACAGTGTCATCAACTTACCACTGTACTTATTGACACTACTTTAATATTAGACCGTTTGTTCTTTTTAGGACCCTCTTAATTAGGGCTGTACAATTAATCACAATGTTATTGAAATTGCAGTATGGTCAGATCACAAAGGCTGCAATGCTTTGATAAAGGTAAAATGTGTGACAAACAGCATTATAATGAAGCACTGTAGTGCTGCAGAGATTCCCTGGCCTCAAAAGCAAAAGTCACATCAAGCTTTTAACAGTTTTTTTTTTCTGTGAAAATAAAAAATGTTATGACTACAAAAATAGTTCTTCCCACTAATCGTGATATATATCGTCATCACAGTATCCATCAAAATAGTAAATGTTTGACCATATCATGCGACCCTATTCCTAATACACTATATGATGCAAATGAATACCTGTTGGAGTCAAAAGACGACACAGCCAGTAGTTACGATAAGGCCTACAGTTAAAATACATGAATTCACAAACGTACGTTTGTGTACTCAGCTGTAATAATTATTTATGGTAATATAATTTAGCAAGTAAATTAACCCGGACCCAGATTAGAGTCACAAATTGAATGGATGGCCAATCTAATGAATTATTGTCTGGAATTAATGAACAATGCCTATTCTGAGTGGATGCTCCCTAGCTACTGTAGCAGCAGTCCTAAAGAATGTCACTGTGCCGTTAGAAAAGAAAGTTACCCTTCTGTTTGTGTTTATGTTCTCACACATATTTTCTTCTCTTTCCACAGTGGATCAAACACTTTGAAAGCACTTCCCTATTATCTCAAGCAGAGGTCAACTTTGGCTGCAGTTCATCATGTGTGCCTCTGAGAAGAGAATAACTCTGAACCCCAGGAGGACAGCTACACAAACACCGTTACTAAAGACACAACAAGACTCACTTTTGAGAAGAGGGACATGTCCACGTGTCAGGGCTGGGCTCACCTGTGAAGGCTGGGCTGCTACATCACATCTGAATGTTGAGTCCTGACCAAATCCCCCCCCCCTTCTTTGTGCAGGGGCCTCTCATCAGGCCTAATTTTCAGAGCCCAGGATAGAAAGCACACACTTGTTTTAAGAATGACAATCCATTTTGTCCTTCGTTTGTTTTTGTTTTATACGTTGCATACTGTCCTACACAGGTGGATCACGGCGATGTTGATAGATGGTTTGACAGAATCATGCAATTCTTGGAAAAACAAATGAATGTTCCAAACGTGGCAAAACCATTTGGTCCTTAAAGCCAAGGATTGAAAAAAATGTAATCCCACAATATGTCTCTTAGGTAATCTCCTTATATTGTATGTCAAAAATGTGAATTTACTTTCAATATGGCTATGTAATTTCTATTTTTGATACAATACAAATTTATATGTATTTGTTTATAGTGATAAGAAGACCAAAGATGGCTTCATGCTCAATGTAATTTTATTGTATTGTAGCTGTGTATGCTGTATTCACTGATAACCTTGGCATCAGTCACTAATTTGTTCATCTATCACAGAAGTAAGCTTGTTTTGTCTATTTACTTTTTGAATTATATGTATGGTAAGATAATTAGCACCACAATCTTCAATGGTTAACCCACATATTCATGTGATCTTAACAGGTCAATTCTACAATAAATGACAAAATAGTCATTAGTTATAGCTCGTTTATTCTATCAACCTCAAATGTATAGCACATTGTTGAAACTGACATTTTTATAAAATTATTTTGACAAAAACATGAAAAACCCACACTAGATATTGTATAAGCCCTTGGAAATGCATCAATATGCACAGAATTAGCATCTTATCCCTTGAACCACAGTTTTGTAAACACTGCTTGTGGAGTGCAAAATTAATTTGTCATCACCCATTCTAAATATAAAATACACGACTTGATTAAGTACACTGCACCAAAACATACAAAAATATATATTGTTTACACCACAACCCTACTAATAAGCTAATATCAAACAATACATTGTTGATCTGTAAACATGTACACAACAGTGGCGTAAATCCTTTGTCTTTACATGTGGTTCCATTTCTAACCTTACACCTGGTCTTAAAATGTGAGCTGTATCCAGACACATTATTCAGATCAATTACAAACGCACATTAATGCAAGGTGTAAATGCGTCATGATCAGATCTGCCTGATCACATCAGGATGTGGTCTGGCTCATTATTTTCACACATTACCTTAGGTAGGTCTAAACATATTCTGTACACAACTTAACGAATACAGATATTTGTTTTAACATAAAATATAGGTTGTTCAAATTTATGGAGAGACACAGCTCTGATTATGGATTACACATCTATTCTGTGCCAGGAGGCCCAAAAGATGCGTTATTCAACAAAACTGCATGAAACATAAAAGGAAAATGAACAGTAAGACATAACTTGCAATTATCTGTGCAGCTGATCTGCTGTTAACAGATTACAAGGGGAAGGGCAAATAATTAAGAATTTGTTGTAGATAAACAGATCTCAATGAAGATAACGCATTAGAAACATCCGGTGGAAATGCAAAGGCAACACCGGATCGTTATTATCTGGATAATGTGTCCGGATACGGATCACATTTTAATACCAGGTGTAACTGGGGTGACAGTCACTCCACTTATTCAATTAAAAGATATCAGGGTAAGTGGTGGTGTGACGGGTCCTGGAACATCACATGGCTCAGATAGGGCACCCGCTGTCCCCCAGGGCCTCCTGTGCTGCCTTCAGGGTCTCTCTCTTCACACATTTCCAGTAGCCAGAGAAGCCGTTCTGATGCTGCACCTGAAGGGACAACCATTCCATCACAGCTAACAGCACTGCGATTCACTGTGACATTCAAAATGCACCCTGAGAGCAGTCTGTAGCTAGGTATATGAAGATATCAGGATTTACATCTTTGCAGACAGTTGGCCATGCTAAAATCAAAGGAGCATAAATGCTGACTGCTGGTTGTGTATGAATGAAAACTCAATCTCAGTCTGTACAACCAAAGGGATACAAATGGACCCATACTTTCAAAGGTCCAAGACCCACCTTTTTCACAGCAGCCATTTTGATATGAAATAGTAGGGTAAACACAGGTGTTAACAATGACACTAATTTCAGGTTCAGTTCAATTTATAGCAGCACCCTGACCTACATGGAACACAACCTGAATTAGTATCATTGGCATCACCTGTATTTATGTCCATGTCAAAATGGCCGCTGTGAAAAAGGTCTATTAGGGCGGTGAGAGCATGTACTGATTAATGCTCAAACACCAGACACTTGCCTACAGTGTGTTTTCTTTCATATCATCAGCAGTCGATTGGTGACTAATCAGATGACTTGTTAGAGAAATAGTTCCACGTTAAATAAACAAGATATAAGCAGAGGTGCTGGTAGAACTATTGCGTTGAGATTTTTGGCAGAAATTAAAACACAATATAAAAAGGTAAAGATGGATAGACTCACCTTCAGCCCTCGCAGGACTCTGTCGTTCATCACTCCCATGAACTCCTTATGGCTCAGGCAGTTGTCTCCGTCCATATCGAAGAGTTTAAATACAGTGTCCAACACACTCTCAGACAGATTGTGGCCCGTGGCGATACTCACAGCTCGCTTGAACTGGGCTGCAATGAGAGGAGGGGAAAATGTAGTCATCTACTGTATAGTGTTTATTGAAAACAGCTGATTCTAACCAACAGAGAGGAGTTACCCATTCCAACAGGACGGTTGGCTCCAGTCACTAGCTTCATTGAAAAGGCAAAGTCCTCCAGATTGTTGGTGAAGAGATAGAAGGCTTTGAACTCATCAAATGTGATACTCTGCAAGACAAAACGTCTCACTTCACTTTTGTGCTACACTGAACGACAGTTTCACTGTTTGTTTCTTTGTGTTTCTTTACCTGGCCAGCAGGAATCCTCTTCCTCATGTTTTCCCAGTAAACTTCATTGTCTTCTTCGTTGGTGTAGTGTAGCAGCCACTCAGCAAAGTCCTCCCTTCGCATGGTGCCCATACCTTTGGAGAACTGCAGGAACTCCATCTCCTGGACCTCAGCCTGCAGGTCCTCCATGAACCTGAACAACAGAAAGGCTTTACAGGGAATCTGATGCTCCGAGACGGAAACGCAACTTTATATCAAACTTTAAAAAATAAAAAAATAAAAATGTGTGTATATATATATATATATACAAAACTTATCATGCTAATTCAAACCTTATCTGGTGCTGTAAATATTTACAACCAAAAGTTTAACACAAAAAGTCAACTTCAACTTTTCTCTACAACCTTTAATTATATTTTATCTGACATCTGTCCTACAAAGTGGCTATAATAATACTCTATGTAGTGTACAGTAAGAATTTTAGAAAGATTAAAATGCAACAACTGACTGCAGAGCTGACTTAAAACCATGTGTTTTCCCTGTTACATCCTAAATGTCGACTGATACACACACTTATCACATTACTGTGGTCAC